TCTCTTTTTATTCGGACTTCCTGAAACACATATTTATTTCTTACTTTTTTATTTCTTTTTTAGGATAAAGTTTTGTTGTGGGTGTAGGATATATGAGAAGGGTATAGCTTTTTAATTATTTTTATAAATTTATTGCAAATAATTTATGGTGTTTTTGCCAAGTATGTGGACACAATATTCAATAATGCAGCAGGTTTTTGTACCTTCTTGTTTAGTTTTTAAAACCTTTAATTTAAGTAACTACACAATTTATGAGTTTTAATCATTTTCTTTTTATATACGTGTAATGAAGAGGAGATTGTTACTGTCAGCTTTATGCATGAATTTATTCTTTTTTACTTTTCTGACATTGATATCTATGATTAAATTTGATGTCATGATTCCTATTTGCAGTGCCAATAATATTTGGATCCAAACAATTGTACTTAGATTTGACACTTTTTTGTAAATGTTATGTCCCAAACGATAAATTCCTTCGTACGTCCACAGCTTTGGTAGCCAAGGCTTAAAAATTTGTGGCAGTTAAAGTATATTTATGAGGTGAACACAACTTTGATTAAAGAAAACTTTTTATGATTNTTAAACGAGGATAAAATTTTAACTTAATTCAACAAGCAACTTTTAAAAATATCCATGAGCGCGAAGATTCATTTATGACTTTTGCGAGTGCTGTATTGAGGCGAGTGTAGGGTTGCCTCTGAGTGAGTGTTACTAGATAAGGCGGTGAAACAGTTGACAAATAAAACCGCGGCGAGTGGAGGTGCCCGGGAGTCGACAATGTGTAAAGTCGCTGTTGGGACATAGTTGTGTTGGGAAAAGAAGGAAGCTTTAAACTTCCTACGTTTATTCTGGTCGATGTAAGTTTTCCATGGGTAAAAACGACACCATTTCTTAAAGATTCAAGCAAAATCCTTTAAGTAGTGCCAACAATTGTGCTATGAAAAATTTACTACTAAAAAAGAAAGACTGTTTCCATAATTTTTTCCAACCCCTGTATATTTCATGAAAACTTTTTACAGAAAGCTTTTAATAGGGTTAATAGGGCTCCTTTCATTTTGTTTGTTACACACTTTTTTTTAGAATCATTTTTAACATCATTTGACCGAGTAAATTCGAGCATGATATGCCATTCGTGTTTGACGCAGTTTAGCCGCTTTGGGCACTTTTGAAATTAAACTCTTTCATCTATAATTCCATTAACGATGAATTGAAAAAATAACTCATAACATGTAGGAGTACCTTTGCCTTTGGGCAATCTTTGGAAAGGTTTCACGGTTTTCCTCTACACGTACAGCAAATTTGCATTAGTTGAACACAAAAACATTTTCTACTTAATTAATTTTTGGGCCTTGATTCAAAACTGCAACACTGTGGAGTTGAACTTCAAAAGTAGCGCATACATTTTATGCATTGCCTTCAATGCCAGCGATAAAATTAAATAAAACTTATACAATGCTCTGAAACAACATACAAAACTCTATACAATGCGTTGAAAGCTAAGATTCTTTTAGATATGGATAAAATGAAATCTTATGAGTTTCCTAAGAGAATTGGGGTTTTAAGACATCGAAATGTGGCTCTTAAAGCCAAAGCTAACAAACATTTAGTGACTAACGCTTATTTTTCGTTCCAATAGTTGATTGTTTGACTTGGCGAGCATTTCTTTCGAAAATAAACATAATGCACAAAGAAAAATCTCCGCTGTGATGAATGACTAAGATTGCTATGATATACAGGTTTATATTTTGAGATTCCGCTACAGGAATAGAATATTGCTCTAATATTATAAAGTAAACGCATTTATCTAGAAAATGCCTTAATCACAAAATATTTTTGCAATTACGAATCTATTTTTGAGAAGCAAACTCGTGAAATTTCACTTCAGTCGACATAATGAGTTTAGAAAAGAAATAAAATAGTCGGAAAGCAGTAAAAGTCTAGACAGGCATGAGATTGACTTGAATTTTTTAGCTCTTTTCGAGTTTTCAAGAGAATGTTTCTAGTTTTATATTATTTGAATCTTCAATCGAATTACAAATTTTAAATTTTGAGTTAGAAGATTAATTTTTTAATCTTTATTATTTCAAAAAAGAAAAAAGAATTTTATTCAATAAACACTCTGATGTCCCACAAATTTGCTAAACTCTCTGTTACATGGAGATAGCGGATTCGAACCCAGCTGCAACTCTAGAAGTATCTCTGTGATGTCCTATCTTAGATTGCGACACTTGTTCTTCAAATTGACAAAGACTTATAAGCCATACCTTGTAATAAGCCAACGCCTCCTATAACTGAAAATCTCCACACGGTTTTTTATAGATAGTCCGATCAGACCACTGTGAAGGATATCCACTTACCGAACGAGTCATTTAATACAGAATATAGTTAAAAAAAGAAAGTGGCAGCAAATATATGGCTAAAACTTCATTTTATTTATGAATATTAATAGCTTGCCTTATTCACTTGTCAACCACCATAGACTCAATTCTCAAATATATAAGATAAATTTCTCTCGCTTTTATAAAAGGTTTTGGGTTCATGCGCACAACTGAGTCGCTTTTTAAGCTGTCTGCGCGGACTTCTTTATGAAAGATCGTGTGGAGGCTTCTTGATGTAGGAGGTGATGAATAAGCACACTATCTCGCATATGCCTTTGTCACAATAAATAAATATAAAGCAATATACTCTGGTGTAATTTATTTAAAGGATTCAATGATTCATTAAAAAAAGCCGATCACCAAAAATTCAAAATTATATAATTTGTTTTTTTTTATTATTATATGTTATATGAAAGCAAATCAGTGTTTTTAGTTTTTGTTTTTGAAATATAATTAAAAGGATTAAGATAATTATGCATAAATATTTTTTCTCAATAATTAGTATAATTAATTAAGGAAATGTAGCGGATTACGGTAAGAAAAACGGATCAAATTACGGTATAAAGTGTTGGCACCTATGGTGCATCACACGTATTTTTGCCGTAAAATATTTTACCACAATTTTTACAGTAATATTTATTTAATTAGAGTGATACATAGATTTTACGGTAATTATTACTGTGAAAATTTCTGAATATCATATTTTTTGTTCCGTAGCATCTTCCAGTAAAAATGGATTTTACGGTAAAAAGTACCGGCACCCTGAGTGCCGGTACTTTTTATCGCAATTAGAGCCAGAATTATTTTTAAGGTATATTGTATCTCGCATTTGCTTTCCCCCCGAAAACTGTCAATCGGCAAAATTTAAAATCCCAAACGTTTATTTAAACTGTTCTCGTCTTAGCGTCCGCACAATTAACGCCTGGATATGCTTCAAAGGGAAAGGACTGCTAAGGCAACGCCTCATACAACTGAAAGCCTCCACACGGTTTTTTATAGATAGTCGGATCAGACCACTATGAAGGTAAACCAGTTTACGAAATAGCCCTTTAATAGAAAATCTGGTGAAAATAAGAAAGTGGTAGCAAATACGTTGTCTAATTGTTTTTTAAATTCATGAATATGATTGCTTAGTCTTATTTACTTGTCTACCACTTAATTAATGACAGTACCTCAGTCGCCCGTGGCAGTACTCTACATTATATGAAGAAGTGGAGTGCCCGCTCGCTGGCAGGGACTCAGAATCTCATCTCACTCTAAGTCCCTTTTAATATAGAATTTGGGTTCAGGCGCACAATCGGTTCACTTTTTAAATAAGTATTTTTATAAGTAGTCTGCGCAGACTACTTAGAAAAAAAGGCTAAGGTTAGAGTCTAAGGTTGTCAACATTACTTGCCATCGAAAACTTCTTGTTAGNAAAAAAAAAAAAAAAAAAAAAAAAAAAAAAAAAAAAAAAAAAAAACAGCGAATGAAACATAGTACTTTTCTTCTTTTACACCTTCCTTCAACATAAATATTTTTAATATCACTCAATTGTAAATTTTATAAAATCCGCAGATTAAGGTAGGCAATTAAAAAATAATTTTTTTTTAGATTTTTTATTACTAAAATGCACTTATTTGAGTTTCAAATTGATTTGAACATTTGGGCGTTGATTCCTGTGTGGACTTATTTTTTCTTCTTGAAATTGACATTATAGTTATTCATAATTTTTAACATAAGTTACCACATTAAGTTAATTTCAATGTAAGTTTAATATCACAAATTTAAATATATTTCCTGAAATTATTCTCGCTGAGTAATTTTTTTTATATACATAAAAGAACATTTTCAATAAAAAATTGCATTTATCATAAGAAAAAAGACCAAAAAAATAGTCAGCGAAAAATGATTCTACTCTAATAAACACGCAAGAGTGGATAAAATGCTAAAAATAAAAATTTACTTTAGTATTATTTTATTCGGCTGGGGTTCCCAATCTTTTCCGGTTGCGGAACCCTCTTTTGGTGGAGCTTGACTTTAAGAAAAAAAAACTCATTAGCATTTCTAAAAAAGTTAGAAAAAAATGAAAAGAAAACAAATTAATTTAGAAACATTTATAGTGAAAAATTCAATTGTTTCATCAATAGCAGTCTTAAGACTAGGTTTCACACTAGACATTTGAATTCATTAGTTTGCAGCGGCTTTTTGTTTATAAATTTTTGGCGTATAAACAAGTTGAATTGAATAAAATAATCTAATCATGGTTTTTAAAAGAAGAAATGTGTTACAGTTTAATCAAAGAAAAATAATTCTTTATTCTTGAATTTAGTTTCTTATTTTAAAGTTCAATGAGAAATAATAAAGTATTTTTTTAGTTAAATTTTGTTATTTTCTTTTTTAATGAATAATCTCGTAAAAATAACTGAGAAATTCAATAATAGATTATTAGTTGCTTTAATTAAAGTTACAAAAATCATTACTGATTAAAAAAAAAAAGTCCTAACTTATGGAACCCCTGTGACCTCTCCACGAAATCGTAGTGTTCAATGAAACATATTTTGGGAACAGTTATTTTATAGTATTATGTTACTTTATACTATTACTTTAGTGTTAATTATTTATAAAAATTGGTAAACTCACCCACTCCTGGTAACACAACATTCAACAAGCATAGCACCACAGCAACAGGTATCGGCATATGAGGAATAGCTTTACGGAATTCGCCATGCTTTTCTCTGATGCTAACAATTTCCAATTTACCACCACCATCAGCGGCTAATCCAGAGCGATCATAAGGTGGAACAATAGAAGGGCGAGGAGATGGAGATCTTCTAAAAGCACTCGATGGAACAGTACCCAATCGAATGTTAGGATCAGTAGAATCTGATGCGCTTGGACACTTACACAATTGGGATAAATCTGTGGCGGAAGAGATTTTCTCAGGCCTTTTTGGCATGCTACAATATCCACAACGATCACCATTCAATGACGTTTCTGCTTCCATGGTAGTCGGGGAATCAGGTGTGATAAAACTTTGACGATCGTCTGAATTTAATTTCGGTGATGATGATGCCATTCTTTTTAAAATTATTCTGGTTCAATTAAATCTTAATTTTCAATTTCTGATTTAGGATAATATGCTGCAATTATTAAAGACAAGTGCTATGTGACTTTTGAACTAATCATAATTTGCTTAAAATTTTAATTTTATTTTTTAAGAGGAACTTATGTAATTAAAATCACTTATAGATCATAAAAATATTTATTTGGAATTTAAATTTGCATTTATTCGAATTACTTACTCATAGCTAAATACTGTATATTTTAATCAAAATAATTGTTTTTAAATCAAAGCTAAGATAAGATGACAAATTTGGTTCTTTACATAAAATTTGTTCCAGATAACAATAATTTACTCATTACAATTTTGTTTTTTATTTATAAATTTATTTAAAGATTAAGAGAGAGATTTTTCATGAAAATATTATCAATGAGGTTTTCTTTACTCTAGTTATTATCAATTAATCTTATTATATCCTTATTTGTTCAAAACTTTATTATAGTCAACTTTAAAAAAAAACAAATAAATAATTTAAATGATAATAAAATAATTATTTCAAAATATGTATCATATTCTCTTTTCAGTTTAATTTAAGACTAAAAAATTGTATTTTAATTTTTCAACTTATGACAGTAATTTTTATCTTACTTTATATATCTAAATATTTTTTAATATTTATCGGTCTTATATCCATTAAAAAAATATTTAGTAAAAAAATGCTGCGAGTTTATCATAATAGCAATCAACAAGTGGCATCAACAAACTTACCGAAAGCTTACACTTAATCGTTGAAAATCAGTTACCTCATATTTGCATTTTCTAATTTATAAAGAAAAAGTCTTTCTATATTCCATAGAATAAAATTACCATTCTTTATAAACAATGCAACTGATTATCTGTTGCTGTCAGCACATATCCTTTTTCAGCAAATAAATTAATCAATCACTTTAAATGCTTCACTAATTATAATAAAATTGGAAACCTGGCAACACTGGAATAAATTGTTTGTCACAGTATCGTTTGCAAAAGGGAAATATTCTGTTATCGTCTGCAAGGCAGGGATACGAATTTATTTATATCTGCACACCGCTTTGAAACCAAAGCAAGGAAAGGTAGCTACCCTGCCGCTGCGAGTAAGCGAAATCATTTATGATCGCTAGGGAGTATCGTCTGCTCTCACATTTACCTAAGATCTCATTCTGCATCAGCGCCCTCTAACGTAACGTTCGCTGGTTGAGAATGAACTGATGTTTCCTTATTTTAAAAAGAGTAAAAAGAAGGACACGAAAGAGTAGTTTTATTTTCATAGCTAAGTTCATAGATAAGATGGAAAAGAACTTTTGGGGAAAGAAATAAAATAAGATCAAGTAAGGTTTCCAGAACCGTTCTTAAATCTAGATTGATAAACGTTCTTACAGCTTATTGGTTATTTTGAGTAAAAAAATAGATTATTGTTACTGTTTTATAATAAAGATATTTGATAAAAACAAATAAACAAATTGCTAAAGAATTATATAATGATGCGGAATTCGGTATATATTAAAGCAGCACTGGTTATACCACAATGACTACACTTAATATATAAGTCAAATATTTTAGTTATAACAATCAAATATTTCAATTCAATATGAATCAAATGTTTCATTTGCTGTCATTACAGTCCTGAATTGCATGCAAAAACTTTTCAGGATTACGTCCAACTCTGTTAATAAATAAAATATTACTAAACAGATCGAATTTCATTTTCTTAATTATAAATTGTATTATATAATATTTAAAATTGAAATATATGTAAAGGACTGTAAACGACCTCAGGGGCCTAGCTAAAATTAGCTATTATTAGCTTTCACTTTCGAATTTTTAACGCATGACTTCAAATTTTACATTAATGAGCAGGAGTTTTTTTCATTTTTATTTGATATTTTATAACCGTCGTAACCAACCCACTTTTGGGTTTACGACTACCAATTTTCAACTCCGTAGCCTTGTAATTTTAAACCCAATCCAGAAGACAAGGGAACTCTTGGATCAAGTACTGTCTTTTTGTTGGAACTAACCTGCATTTGAGTTACACGCAGAGGAAAACCATGAAAACCTCCCACTGCTACCCTGATTGCAAGAGGACTCTAACCAGTAATCCGTCTGTCACTCAGTATATTTTACGTCAGCACTGCAGTCGGTGCGAGCCAAATGCGGGATTCGTATCGACTAGCCATGGCTGGGATTCGAACCCGGTTCACCTCATTGGAAGGCGAACGTTTTATCCCCTGAGTCACCACGACTCATATACCGGAGTAGATCAAAATAACGGAAAAACTTAGACTTCCTCTATATAAGCTATTAAGTAATAAATGTTTAGGAAGCATGGCAAAACTGATGGCACGATTTTAAAGATTATGTTTGAAACTTTTAAAAATGATATTTTTACCCATGCTAAGTTCGGAACAACCCGAATTTGCTTTGAATAATTAATAAATTTTTTGCTTAATGCTAGGAAATTTGATATCATTCTTTTGAATTTCAATATTTCTATATATTGGTTTTTTAATTACAGTGGTATTAAAAAACAAAAAACCTGCTTCATACCTCTTGTGCTCATTATGGTCGAACATGGTTAAAAAGGTTACTATTTCTGAATGTTTCAAACTTAATTTTTTAAGTATTAACCGTTTCGATGCTAACCGTTTTTCCATGTAAAATCTTCCAACACATTTTCTGCTAAAAGAAAAATTGTTTACATTGAGCTAATATAAAAGTTTCTCCATTATTTTGATCAACCCCTGTATGTCTCTGCCACTTTTCAAAATCTTAGAACACCATACGATATTGACTGCAATTTGTGAAACTTTTTGTTAGTAAAATAATCTAATATGTTGTATATTATTGAAATCAGTATGACTTAGAAAAATAATAATTTCGATGAAAAAAAAATGGGAATATCTACGAAAATTCCTTATGCAATTTTTTTCTTCCTGAATGGGACTTACGACTCTGAAATAAGAAGTAAAACTTTTTAATTCCACATTTATTAATTTATTTTCTAATTTCTATTTTTTCTTTAAAGTTCATTTTTTTTTAAATCATTCATTTGAGTTTATTTTTATGATTCTAAGAAATCGTTTTCATTCGCAGATCATAACTTAACTTGTGGTTTTAAAAATTATCGATCTTTGCAACAAATCCATACCCTCCAACTTATGAAGATTTTGAAAATAATTCTTTCTAGTGGTAGCGAACCAAAGTAGAAATTTTTAAAGCAAATGGATCTCTCATAAAACTTTTATCAGAACTTAAGAATCTAGCCATATGGCCTGCACTTTTATAAGTAATAGTGGACAAGTTACACTAAAATTAATTTTTTTTAAGTATTAAGACATTAATTTTGCTACCGTCTGAAAAGAAGATTTCTGAAACTACGGAAATTCCGTAGCAGTTGGAAGGTATGCAAATCAATACCAAATAATAAAACCTGTAAAGGGTGTAGGAAAAAATTATTGAAAAGATAGTTTTAAAATAATTGTAATAACAAGCTAAGTTCAATTGCATAGAAGAATATTTGAAATCAGAAAAATAAGCAATTTTAACATACGACAACTTAAATCACTCTAATAATGTTCAAAAAGTATTCTTTTTCTAACCTTATTACATTGTTTTGCAATTCAAATTATGTTCCACTGATTTCTGGATGCGAATTAAAATGGACAAAAATATTTAAAGAAACATATCTTTAATAGAATTCTTTTCTTTGAAAGTGCATTTTCTTGGAATTTATTCCACATTTGGAACTCATGAATATTAAGTTCGTGTTTTTAAAGTAATTTTGTTATTTTTGCTCCTATAATAATTCACATATTTAAATAAAATTACTACTTTTGTCTGCAGAAATACAATATTCTATTCCAATAAAGATGGCTATCCATTATCCATTCCAACAAAGTGAGTCCTTCATTTTTCATATACTTTAAAAGTATTGTGTTGTCAAATAATACCCCATCATCAAAAGTGCTTTTAAAATGAAAAACACATAGAAAATTAAAATTAATTAAGGACTAATTACCTAATCTAATTATAATCCATGGCAAGAAAAAGTAACTCTCATGATTTTAAGCTAAATATTCATAACCAAAATTCAAAAATAATATTAATTTATATTAATTAAATCTCTCTTATCTAACAATCAATAAGAAAATAGCATTGTTTTTAATTTTCTTATACACGTTACAGCATTGATATTTAGTCTGAAAACTACTTCTAATTGGAATATTTTACTAAAAAACCGCTTTTTTACTTTTTAAAGACCAAAAACAAAAACCACATTCTTTTTTAATATTAAAAAACATTCATCATATTTCGCAATATACGAAAGAAAATTGAGATCAGAAATTTTGGCTTAAAAAAAATTCTTGAGTTTTTAATTTGAAAATTATGATTTTAAAAATTTAATATTTTGTGACAAAAAATGGAGGTAATCAAACTCACTTAACTTTCTCTCAAAATAAAAGATCTCAATACTATTCATTAAAAATTCATTTATACATTTCTAGCATTTTAAAGTTTTATTAGGTAAATCTTACATTTTTCTTTCTTATTACGAAACTTGAAACATGAATGGGGAAAAAAATTATAGGTATTAAGAGCATAAGAAATTCTTTCCCTAATTATGGCTTTTTGTTAAAGTCAAATTTCAAAATGGCCCCCTCATTTCAGCTTTGTTCCAAAAAATTAAGGAAAAATCCATTTTCAACTTGTACTTTCGACTAAGTTTCATAAAAATCTGTGACATAACGGCAATTGCAATTAGTACATTTCACATGCAATACGCCTGCACTTTTTAGATAAAAAAAAGACTGAACTTAGGAAGAAAAAAACGTTTTCCTATGTAAATTTTTGACAATTACGACATTTTTAACACGTTCACGCCGGGAAAAGTGAAAATACTGGTAGAAGAACTACTTCAATATTAGATAATATTCGGGAGGAGTTAATCTATTCTCAACAGTAACAATTCACTGTAAGGAAATTTATCACGGTGAAGAAGCAATTCTATATAAAAATTGCATCCGTTAAAAACAATTGGTAGTTATGGATTTTCATTATTCCCGAAAAAAAACTAAAAAATGAAATTTATTGGTACCCGTTTTTACTCCAGTG